TACATTCTTCAAGAATATATCTCTTTTTTAAAATTGATATAAATAAGTTAAGTACAAAGAGAAATGAAAAACTTTGATGAAAGAAATGAATTAAGGAATTTGATTCAACAATCTACATTTTTGCTACGAAGAAATAATGAAATGAAAATAAAAATTAAGTTCAAAGAAGATTTTTTATAAATATATATCATAAGAAAACTCTCTTCATAGTTGTTGTGAAGAATGGAAGTGAAATAGTATCTATAGAATCCAAAACGAAAAAGCTTTTGCCCATCCAGACGACCCATTAGACGTTGTACAACGGTTAAAAAAATTGACCGTTGGCAAACCGGAGGTCCGCCTGGTCAACCGGATATTCGTTGACTGTTGACTTTGACCCTTGATTATATATATATATATATATATATATATATATAAGAATTGTGATCCAAGTTCAAGTATGACTTTGAAAAAATTAATCTTACTTTTGATTAAAACATTTTATGCAAGTGGTCGTAAAAAATAACTTTTCGTACACAAAATGATTTTTGAGCTATTATCATTCGTTACTAAGGATCAAAGTGTTATACTTTTATATATGATTGATCTAGAAAGTCTAGTTTTGATCTTGCTTCGAAATTTCTTCCATGTTTGGTTCTTGAACTTTTGATCTTTCTCTTTCTTGTCATTGGTCCTTAATGCTTGACTTCGATCTTGACTTTTCTCACAGTTTATCTTTTAAGCTCTCGTCCCGAATAATTTGACTTGAATGCATAGGTAACTTCCAATTTAATCTTCATTTTAAGTCCGATGTATAATACTTGATAGATTTTAATATTGAACTATCATCACTCAAAATAAATTATTAGAAACAATATTAATCTTGTTTGTTATGATCAAAACATTGATGATGAAGTCAACCATAGATCAACACATAGCACACTACTAAACCATATAAAGAAAATATATGGATTTTTAAAAGTGAAAATTACATCTACCAAGACATTTTAACTTCACAATTCAAAAATAAGTTTTACGAGTTTTTTATTCAAAAATCAGATAATAATTCAAAATTTTAATATTAGTAATAATATTATTAAATTAACGGTGTGACGGCGAGGTAATGCCAGTTTTTTATGTTTTGTTTCTTTTTGGTTTCAACAAAAACAATAATATCAACTCTACTCTCAATAAGGAAAGTCACTTATATTTTGAATCAGACAATAAATAAATAAATAAATAAACACAAGGTTATCTTTATGGGATAGAGAGTATTCTTCATGGAAAAATTAAGCAAAATCATGTATTTTAAGTTTGATTATCATTAATCATGTCATTAAGATTTATTTTTGAAAATCAAGTACCAATTAGATTTTTAAAAATATAAAAATATATACTCCAATATTTATATAACTAGATTATCAAAAAATTTGTAATTAATCTCTAAATTAAAGGTAGCCAAGTAAAGATAATAACTCTTGCCTCACAATCTATCCCCTTCGAGGTTCAATTGCAAATATCGCGGTTGAATTATCTTTTTCTCTTTACAACTATAAAATTTTCACCCGAAGGTTTTTGGCCTTCTAAATTCATTGGTGGTGGTGCCATCGCCAAATCTAACGAAAAGGGGTCGAATGGAGTGATGCATGCTCAAAAAATTCCAATATGAATCTGATTGTTTCTTGTTCAAAATTGCTGCCGTCTTGTTGATTTTTTGGATTAGATGTTTTTTATGGTGTTATTCATTGGATGGTACAGTGGGGGATATAGGATTGGAGGTCAGCTAGGGTAGCCATTGTTCGTTGACCATTAGCCGTCGACAGTTACCTGTCGTAATAGAGAGTCGTTTATTAATATTTAATTAAATAATATTTAATTTTTTTAACCTATATGTAAAGTTTGATTAAAGGATGTCTAACCAAATGTCAATACTACAATCTAAAATTTACGATAAAATGTTGAAAAACAAATAATTACTAAAATTTCATAAACTGGTATTATCTAGGTATCTTGGGATTGGATTATTTTACTAATCAATGCATTAACATCTAACAAAATGTCAATAAAGAAAAATGGTAAAAATCAAAACCTATTAAAGTTTTATACACTAGTATTGCCTAGGTGTCTCAAAATCAGATTATTTTATTAAAATGAAACAGTAGCACAGAGCCAAAGAGAATACCAAACAATTGAACGCATTTATCTAAGATAGACCTTAGAAAAGAAGATAGTATATGTACATTTAATTGGTAGAAATATCGATTTTAAGCTTTGCACCTTAGTCTTTAGACAACAACGAGTAGCAAGCTCTAGCCAAAAATATTGTTGCACTGCACACGACTATTTGTCAATACAGTGGAGAAAAGCGTTTATGCCCCCATGATTAATGACTCTCGAAGAGGTGGAGAAGCTCGGCATCGACGTCGACGGCGACTTAACTATAGCTGACAGCATGTCACAAGGCAGTGCGCGAGAGCATAGGGCTGCGAGTGAGGAGGAAGCTTAGTAGCCTAGGGTTTGCTGTCGATTTAGGAAATTGAATTTGATAATGGTTGGAGGAATTAGGAATATAATGAATAGGTTATATGATTTTCAATAGAACGAATAGTGAAATAGCCTGATTGGAATGGGCCTAATTTTTTAAAAACAAGATGCCCAATTTTTTCTTTTTCCCCAATCCCAATCCACTAACATGTAGCTGTCACCTTCTTTCTTTTTTCTTCTCCCTGCAATTGCCATTCAAGCCTAGCTGGTTGGCGGTTGACTACTCCTGACGGCAACTGTAAATTTCAACGGAGCCAGCACGCGCAATTGTGCTGACTCACCAACTGCTGGCTCCGCCACTTGGATGGTGGTGGATTAGATGTTGTTGATGGTTCAAATCAACTGCTATTTGTTATTTTTTTTGGATGGTGGTTTTTTTTTTTTTTGTTCAAATATGATATTGTTCATGATGGATTAGATGATGTTGAATTTCGTTGGTGGCAGTAGATGTAAAGATCATCATCGTGGTGGCAATGACGGTATGTTGATGGGTTGGGGTGGTAGTGATATGTGTATAGTGCATTTTGGAGGTGATGGTGATGCAGGTGGTGGCTCTATGGTGGCAGTGAGGTGGTATCAGTGTTTTTTGTTGTGGTAATGGTGGTGGATGAGAATGGGTCGGATGAAGAGCAGTTGTGATCAATTAAAAAAATAAACCGTGACAAATAAAGAACATGTAACGTAAAAAATATGTGATCTTTGGTTAAATTTGCAATTGTGATCTATAATTTGTGACTTCGTGATCGATAAATAAGTTGTAACCAATTAATTTCAAATTTATGATCGAAAAATAACTTGTGATCAATTAATTTAATAATCTAAAACCGTGAAATAAGTTAGTACTTATAATTTTTTTAATGAAAAATAATGCGCGACCAATTAATTTGATAATTGTGACAGATAAATAATTTGTAACCTATAAAATTTGTAATTTATGACTGACATTTTATAATCGTGACCATAACTGTATGAGAGTTCAACGAAAACATAAATTTCGCATGAAGGCAAGAGTCATTTGATTCTGATTTTCAGTACGAATGTGAACAGTGAAAGCGTGGCTTAACAATCCTTTAAACCTTCAAAATTTGAAACTAGAACTGTCAAAAAGTTACTACAGAGATAACTAGCTTGTGATAGCGCCTCCGATTCAAGGAATAAGTAAAATAATGTTAAAAGTAGTGATATTTGACTTTCGCCTTTCGACTCCCATTTATCCTATACCTCTCAAGTCATTTCACAAAGTCACCAATTAATTTGATAATTATAACATATAAATAATTTGTAACATATAAAATTTGTAATTTATGACTGACATTTTATAATTGTGACCATAACTATATGAGAGTTCAACGAAAACATAAATTTCATATGGAACAAAAAGGTAAAAGTCATTTGATTCTGATTTTCAGTATGAATGCGAACAGTGAAAGCGTGGCTTAAAGATCTTTTAAACCTTCAAAATTTGAAACTAGAACTGTCAAAAAGTTACCACAGAGATAACTGGCTTGTGACAGCACCTCCGATTCACGAAATAAGTAAAATAATGTTAAAAGTAGTGATATTTGACTTTCGCCTTTCGACTCTCACTTATCCTATACCTCTCAAGTCATTTCACAAAATTAGACTAGAGTCAAACTCAATAGAGTCTTCTTTTCCTATTGATTCTACTAAGCCCATTCCCTTGATTGTGGTCTCGTTGAATAATGGGCACATGTGATTATTCTGCGAAGCTCATACGCAATTTAATGTATTTTATTATTAACAAATATAAATTAATCATTTTCAAATCATTATTTAATGTATAATTATATTGGAAAAATTGAGAAAAAAATTATATTTGTAACCAAATTATTAATATTTTCCTAATTTATATAAAAATGGAAAGAAGTCTACGTTTATGATGAAGAGAAATTCTTTAATGACCTCTTCGAGATTGGATCAAGTCTTAATGGGCTTCAGTCATTAAACCCGAAAACTCCGGTTCCAATCCACGTGAAAAACGCCCACCAACGGTCATCTTCAGCATCACGTGCATTATTTAATATATTTTTTGTCGGACACCAACCCCCGCATTCAAATGTAGTTAACAGAACCATTTCGGGTACGTTAACTACACACACCATCTCAACGCTTCACGTCCCTCATTCACGTACACTGTACACCCCACCACTTCTTATTTATAGCGCGTCATCTTCACGCCATCATCGAACGGTCTACAAATAGTCATTCCGTCAAAACTCACATTCTCAGAGCGTGCGTGTCTTATCCCGTACACACGATATACCTTAATTCTAGTAGAGGGGAAAGGATAAAACTAAAATAAAACAAGCGCTCACCAAAAATTCCTCAAATCTTCTTTCAAAAATCGACACGTGTACCATCTATCTCTTGTTCAGATTAAACACCAATTAAAACTGCTTTAACAGTCAATCGAACGATCATTAATCTGACACATGTCACTCAAAAGGTTCAACGAAATCTTTTGTGCTTTTTGAGGTAGCTTTATCGTTATCCTTTAATCTGAGGCATATAATTTTGAAACTCAGAGCTACAAAAAGGAAAATTCTGCGGACAATTTGTATGCTTCATTTGTTTGTACGTTTGACATCGTTTTTTGTACTTTAAGAGCTATTTAGGGTTCCATTTTTGTAGGTGAAAAGAATGGCGGAGACCCGGATCGGAAATAGCGACAACGTCGTGTCCGTGGAGCTTCCTGCACCTGCTTCTTGGAAAAAGATGGTATTTTCTTCATTTTACATTTTTTCCCTTTTATATGCTTGTGTTGACCGCTCTTCGGTTTAATTTTAGTTATACTTGTTTTATGTGTTCAAAATTTTAATTTCAGTTACACTTATTTGTATATTGAATTTTGTTGTTCATAATAATTTTTATTGCTAGGGTTTACTGTAGAAAAGTATTGCAAATAGTTATATGTGAAGCTTACATTTTTATTTCATTTCATTTTATTTTTTTTGGCCTTTTGAACCTTGAATTTAATTATCGAAGTCTGTTGGCGATGTGTTTATTGGTAACTATTACAAATCTTTGATGAAAATATTTTCCATGACGGAAACTAAAATTTGTAAAATATTACGTTAATTTGCCCCAAAAAAAAATGTCTGTTGGTATTGTTACTGGAAATACTAAGGCAGTATTGATTACAATAAGTTATTTTTGTAATAATCTTAATGAATTAACACATTTAATTTTTTTAATCTACTGGATTTTCAGCTTTTTTTGGAAGCTAACTCTCAAAGCTTGATACTTGAGAGCAACGTACACAAAGATAAAAAAAACTATGAAGAGAAGAGCGGAAAAAGGGTGGGGCCGGGGTCTGGGGAGGGAAGTTTGCTGTTTTTAACAATTTTTAACTATCTGTCCGCTGTGCAAAAGGCAATTTTTGCAGATAGGGCAAGACTATTGTTGTTAATTGAAGCATCTGTGTCGTTATTTGGTTGTTGAGGAGTAGTGATAAAGATGCTTGGGAACTAGAGTGCACTATAAAATTAGATTGCTTGTTGAATTCTTGTGATGTCTTGTAATCGTGCCCTAATGAAGGTGAAACTTGAGATTACTTTTCACATTTTGAATTTAAGCAAAGGACATTACTCCAAGGAATGAAGTGCTGGAAGGGCAGAGTTTTAAGGTAGTTGTTTGGGCTTCATAACCTATGCCTGTCTGGTCCCTTTTGTTGAATGTTTCTTGTCCTTTTTTCGAATGTTCCAGTAAAAACTGTTTCAGATTATGAGAAAATGGTTGAATGATCAGCAGAATGCTCACTATAAATATCTCTGGGAAAGTAAGACGCCAATTGCCTAGGCATGGGGGATTCCAGCCAATTTAAGCTCTTATAGTATATTTTGGAATTAGGTCTCTTTTTATCCGGGTGCTCCCTTGAGTCACTTTGTCGAACTTTAGGATTGTAAGGCAACTTAAATAAATGATTTGCTCCAGTTAAGTTTCAAAATAATGGACTTAATAATGTCATGATGTTTGTCTCTGTATTTCGAAAAGAAGCTGAATCCATTTGCTTGCTAGCCCAAGATTTGAGGTGGTATTATGTCTGTCGTTTTTGCAAACAGTTGTTTGTGCTTATGCCTTATTGTGACAAGTCCAAGATGGTTCGTTTGAATAACAGTGTAGGATTACAGGGTGACAATTAAATAGAAAGTTGCAAAAATCATTGACCAGACCAGTCTTAGGCTAGGGAAGCATGGATTTTCTCTGTGCAGAAACTTGTTTCCATCATATTGTTTCAATTTTAAATTCGTTAGTTAGTGTATATTTGAGTGAGTATGCCATGCAGATAAAGCAGCTTATATATTTACAATTGTTGTCTACCTATCAGAATCTTACATTAATGTAGTTTTGTTCATGTCAGACTAATGTTCTAGGATGATATTTAGCTTTTAAATATTTTTATGGGTTATGATGTCGATTGGCTCATTGAGGTTACATAATGATGCTGTTATTGGTAGTTTATGTTGAGGGATGTTGGATTTGACCTCTTGAATCTATGGAAGTGAAAATCAGCAAGGAAATCTCAAAAAGAATTCATAAGGCTATCCTTAATGACCAGCCCACAAGTCTTCTAGTGAGAAACCTATGAGAGACCATAAAGGCTTCCTTGGTTTCTAATGTAGATTGGTTTAGTATTCAGTGAGGCTTTTCGTCTAAGGTAGTGTAGGTTGATAATGCATAGACATAATTGAGTTTTCTGGAATAAATGCAGGCAGAGAAAAAAACTTCTGCCAACTATCTTAGGCATGCAAAAAGAATAGTTGAATGAGTACTGTCCGAGAAACATGTGATGCTTGTTCCTGGTTACTTGTTCAATTTTGATTCTATGCTGTTATTGATGTGTGTAGATTTTGTGGTCTGTTTAGTATCTTGACATGGTTGATCAATGCTTCTTTTCAGTACATTTCGAAGAAGGGAGGTACACCACGGAAGAATGAGATCTCATTTATTGCTCCCACTGGAGAGGAGATTAATAACCGGAAACAGCTGGAGCAGTACCTGAAATCACACCCTGGAAGTCCTGCTATATCAGAATTTGATTGGAGCACTGGTGAGACTCCGAGAAGATCAGCTAGGATCAGTGAGAAGGTCAAAGCAACACCTCCGTCTAAAGAGAGTGAGCCACCCAAGAAACGTAGCAGGAAATCTTCAGGTACAAAGAAGGGAAAAGAGAGTGACGCTGGAAAAGAAGAAAATGAGGGCAAGCAAGAAGTTGAAATGCAGGAAGCAGAAGTGGATGGAAAGAAAGAGGAAAAAGAAAACGACACTGATGAGCTGAAGGAAACTGAGGTTAAAAGTGAAGTTAAAATGCAGGAAGATGCAGCTGAAAAGAGTAAGCCTGAGGAATCGAAAGAGAATAACCCTGAGGAAAATGTTGCAGCAGAAGTTGAGATTCACACTGCTACTGAGGACATTATTGTTGACAAGGGTAGAAATGATGAACCTGACAAAGCTAATGGTGCTGAAGAAGCTCCAAAAGTGGAAGAAAAAAAGGTTACTGGAATTGAAGAACAACCAGATTTAGTGGCTGCAGAACCTGGGGCTGATGGTGAGAAACAGGATAAAGTGGAAAGTATCCCCGAGGGAGTAACCAAAACGGAGATGTCCAATGGTGTGGAACCTGAGTCTGCAGGAGAAGTTCATGGAGTTGAGGAGCACAGCAGCAAAGCTCATTCGCAGGTAGAGGAGCCAGAAAAGAATGCCACCGAGAATGGGAAGGTGAATGAAAGTGGGGCAACATTGGCTCCACGTCATCCATCTCCAACTGCTACTAGTTGTTGATTGTTGTCATATATCCTCTGTTGATGTACCTTCTGATTCTAACTTTGCAGACTAAAATGACTGTAATATGGGTGAATGATTAGGTTAAGATTTATTTTAGATAGGAAATTGGCCTTTTGGACTGTCTATTATGTAGCATTTGTTGTGGTTATGATGTAAAATAAATTGTTATCTGTAGACATGCTATGATAGTATGCACATCATAGTATTCCAATAAGTATGGAGAGAGACAGGACTCTCGTTAAAGCTGGTTTGTGCCTTTAACTCTTGATTTTTTTGTTGATTCGGATTCTAAATTGATGCTCTTGACGTGATCAGCTGAAGCTTGATCGTAGAGGTAAAAGCTGTTTTTTTGGTAGAAAGCTTTGATCCTATATTTTGCCCATGTCGTTCGAACCTTTGATGCCACCTACTTGTATCAGATGATTTCTTCTTTAGGCTGTCTTGTTGGATATTTGAGCTTATTGTTGGGCGATAAAACCTTTGCCTTGATTATGCTAAAAGTAGCATCGTAGCTCTTTTTGTTATGGACCTTAAATTAACCTTTGACCCCATGGTTGGCTAGAATGTTTCCATCAAAATTGGTGGTGGTGTTGGTTATTGCTCTAAACAATTCGCAGAAGCTACCAAAATTTAGATAATTTGATACTTGTAGGTGATATTATCCATTTTAATGACTTATCTTCGCTACATAAGGTGTTGTAGCTTGCCATTTTCAGCCCAAAAGCATCATAGCTCAACCTTTTCGTCAAAATTTGTATTCTTACACTGCTATATGGAAGGAACAGATCACATTTTAGCAGCTAAGCAAAGCAAACACAATCAATACAAGTAGTAATATATAAGAACCGAGATTGGGGAAAAATGGAAAACGTGTGTTCTGAAGTGTTTTAGTTAGTCTTTGAAGGTAATCAAGTCGATTCAAGCCAAGTGGCTCGTAGTGAGACCACGAAAAGAATAAAAACTGTGAACGAATGTTCATTAAATCTAGCTCAACAAAGCTGACAAATCAAACAACAGAAAAATCAACTTTGTTTAAGGTGAAGCATGGGAAATTGCGAGTGGTGGTTTACTCTTGAAACATTAATTGGGCCTCCATTTTTTCAAATACTCATTTTTCCATAATTCATTTTCATTCACATTGTTGATAAATTTGTCTCAAGAACACAAAATAAATCGACAAAAATTAAAGAACACAAATATTTTTTACCCAAAGACCCGGATGTTTAGCCAAACGACTTACTTATCACGTTGAGCATCAACAAAAGTGATTATCAATCTAAATCTACTAGAAATCACCAAAGATAACATCACAAGAATCAACACTCAAAGATTCAACATGGTTCTTCCTTAGGCCATTGTTTTCTCTCAAGATCTCTTCCAAACTCGATTACACCAAGTAAACAGTGGTTACTGCTCACCTAAGAATAGACTACTAACAATAAAAATACTCCATAATTGATCTCACCAAGAAAATCTAAGAGAATTAACTATTATAGACGAAACGCAGAAGATTTTTCATAGTGAAGAAAAATGAGAGTAAAGAGAAAATCCTATAAAATGATCTAAATAGCCAAGCCAATCAAAGTATCTATAATATAGGAATTCACCAATTAAGTTTCATCTAAAAGCCACCGATCAACCACATGGCATCATCTCAACTATTGATCTAAAATGAACTCAAAGTCGCATCTTAGAAAACGTTAGAATGCATATATGTGGTTACTGCTCACCTAAGAATAGACTAGTAACCAATACAAATATTCCATAATTGATCTTACCAAGAAAATCTAAGAGAATTAACTATTATAGACGAATCGTAGAAGGTTTTTCATAGTGAAGAAAAATGAGAGTAAAGAGAAAATCCTATAAAATGATCTGAACAACCAAGCCAATCAAAGTATCTAATATAGGGATTCAGCAACTAAGTTTCATCTAAAAGCCACCAATCAACCACATGGCATCATCTCAGCTATTGATCTAAAATGAACTCAAAGTCGCATTTTAGAAAACGCTAGAATGCATATATGTGGGAGACAACTAGGTTTGGGCTTCAATTGTATTTGGGCTGTCAATATTGTAAGTGGATCCATCACTGGGCTAGAAACCAATAAAGTGTTAAGTAAATCCAACAATCTTCACCTTCCTTGACATCTTTGGTGTTTATAATAGACTTAAGAGTTAAATACCTTCCCCCCCCCTCCCCTTTTATTCATTTACTCTAAGTACCTGTAAAATTTTTGAATCAGTAATTACATTTAGGAGATTTAAAAAATCCCTGAATTTATGTAAAAGGGAGTATTTTTTGTATCCATATTTGCAGGATTACATTTAGTAGATACATTTTCTATTTTCATGATTCCCATTTCTAAAACATCTCTTATAAAGTGATATTTAACATCTATATTTTAGTTTTATCATAAAAACAGGATTTTTACTTAAATGTATTGCAAGTTGACTGTTAGAATACAAAATTGCACTAATGTTAAAAAGATCAATTTCATCTAACAAACATTTCAACCATAAACCCTTTTTCAGCATTTGTGGTGGCAATGTATTCAGTTTCTATTGATGATAGAGCTACGATCTTTTGCAGTTGAGGTTTCCCGCTTATATAAGTGTCACTTAAATTAAAACATAAGTGGATGTGGATTTTCTATTATCAGTATTATTAGCAAAATATGAATCAACAAAGTCTTTCACTTGGATTCCAGTTTTTATTTTATTAAATATTAAGCCCAAGTTAATAGTTCCTTTTAGATACCTTAATAACCATTTTCATGGCTTCTTAGAGATATTCACCAAGATTGCTCATAGACCTATTGGGAACACTTACAACATAAGCAAGATTAGGTCTATTGTAGACTATACATGACTGAATCAACAACATTTGCATAAGGAAATTTATTTAGCCTAATCTTTTCTTCTTCAGATTTAAGACATTGATCTACAGACAGTTTAAAGTGACTAGCTAAGGGAAGACTGACCTCCTTAGCCCCATTAATAGGAAATCTTCCGAATATTTTAGAAATATAGGTCTCTTTATTTGTAATTCTATCTCTTCTAATCTCCATCCTTAAAATCCTTCTATCTTAGGTCTTTATTTCAAATTCAAGTTTTAGCTTCTGTTTTCTCTTATTTATCTCAGTTAATCATACCCAACAAGTAACATATCATCAACAAATAACGAAAGATAATAAGAATTTGGACCTTCTTTACCTTTAAAATAAAAACATGGATCATACTCACGCCTATTATAATAAAGTCCCTTGACAAAAGTATCAAATCTAATATATACTAAAGCATGTGAGCTTGTTTCAGGAAATGCATAGATTTTTGTAGAAGACACATACAGTTTAGTTGAGTTATATAAATCTTTTCATTAAAGTTTCCATTTAAGAAAGCAATTTTTACATTTAATTGTTTCAATTCAAGTTCAAATTGAAACACAAGAGACAGTAAAACTCTTATAGAGGTATATTTGACTATAAGGAAAAATATTTCATTGTAGTCAATTACCTCCCTTTGCTTAAAACCTTAGCAACTAATGTAGCATTGAACTTTACATTTTTCATCTTTTGATTCACCTCCTTTTATTTTGTATCCATTTATAGTCAATAACCTTTTGCCCTTTTGGTTTATTAACTAAGGTCTAAGTCTTATTTTTGTCTAATGAGAAAGCATTTATCTTTCATAGCTGCAAGCCAAATGTTTGCATCTTTTCTCCCAAATGGCCTATTCATGAAAATCAGGCTCATTGTTTAGAAAAATTTCCACGTTATGTGCAGTGACAAATTCTGATTCATAAAATTTGGAAGGTGGTCTAATTTCTCCTCCCCATTTCCCTAGCTAGATGATAATTTTCTAAGGGGTTTTCTGTTAAGTCAGGCTCAGGTTCAGGTTTAGTATTATGTTCCTAAACTTCCTCCACCTCAATCAAGTCCTCATATCCAAGATTTATATCTGTAGGAAAGAGATCAGATTTCACATAGTTTTTGTTCTAACTATTTTCAAAGGCAGTATTATCTTTTTCCTTTGTATAGAGTATGTCAATTTCATTAAAAACCACATTTCTACTAACGATGACTTTGTGTCCACCTCGACCCCTTAGCCAAATTGTGTATCCTTTTACAACTTCTCCATATCCAAAGAAAATTCTTTTAATGGACCTATGTTCAAGTTTATATTCTTTCTGATGTGCATATGCAACACATCCAAAAACTTAGTTTGGAGTGGTCAATAGGATGACCATTCTAAATATGGTCTGGAGAGTCATAATTCAGAGATTTACTAGGACATTTGTTTATCAAATATGAGGCAGTCTTTACAGCTTCTCCCCAGTATACTTTTGGAAGGCCAGAGCCGATAAGCGTGAATCTTACTTTCTTTAAAATGGCCCTATTCATTATTTCAGCTAGTCCATTCTGTCGTGGAGTATAGGTAATAGTCCTATGTCTAAGGATTACCATTTTCTTTACAAAAATTATCAAACTCTTCATTGCAAAATTAAGGCCGTTTTTAGTTCTAATAACTTTAACATTTTTATTTACTTGATTTTCAATAATGGTCCGTTTGATAATAAGAAAGGAATTTGGATGGAAAGAAAATGAATTCTAGGGAATTGAATTCCCCATAACTTATTTTACTGAAATTGTCAATTGAATGTGTTTGATTGGTATAATTTTTCACATGAAAAATGTTGAAATTTTACATATTTTGGCTTTTTTCTTTTTTTTTTTAAATTGTCAATTAAAGGGATATAATTTTTTACAATTGTGAATAGAATTTGTTTCCGTTACCAAAAAATAAAATAAATTTAAAAAAGGTGAGAAACTGATTTCCCACCAAACCCATGGGAATTGGTTTTCCACATACCAAAGAAAATGGGTCATGTGAGGGGGGGAGGGAATGAATTGGCAAGAAAATTTTTGCAATCAAACAAGGAAAAAGGCAAAAAATCCATGAAAATTGACCGAATCAAACAGGCCTTAAGAGTTTTTCATTCATTAAAATTTTGGCAGGTATCAATTTCATTTTCAAAAGGATAACCTAACCTTTTTCAGAAAATCATCAATTATGAGAAGGAAATGTCTAAAACCAGAATAAGTACACACCAAGGTTGAAGGTAATCAAGTATGGCTTTGGATTTATGAATGCCTGTGGCAAAAGGTAATTTTTTACTTCCCATAAATGTAGTGTTCACCAAAGGACAACTTTTCAATCTTTTTTGTAGCCGAAAGATTTTGTTTCTTTAAAATGTGCAAATTCT